TATATGCCTATATATGATTTCCCCTTTAACAATGCTTACAGTTTAATAAATTCATTATAAGTGTTTTGAATATATTTGCATAGAATATCCAATTTCATGAAATATGCATTTCTAGATTAGTAGACTTTCATAACAAACATTGTATATCTTTTATCAAGTTCTATACAATTATTTCATAGGTTTCAAATGTGTTTTTAATCAAAATAGTCAAATATCAATTTTCAGGTTTCATGTTTTGGACTATTTGTAAAATGATGAATTTTTCATTTGGAAGTCCTTTTTTGGAAATCAGTCATTTGTAGCCATGTTTATTATCACATGTCTACAATCATGCCCAAATTATATTTTTGGAATTTATTTATATTTTTAAACACACATTTTAAAAAATCAGTTTTATTTTTCGTGTGTCAGTTTTCAGGTCTCATTTCGGCGACGGATAGGGCGACCGAACCTGAGGCAAAAGTTTCCTTGGCGACAGAAGCCGTGTCGCGCGACGTCCGGTCGACCGATGAAAATTTCGGTCGACCGACGAATCGGTCGACCGTGACGAGTGATTTTCTGCTTCTAACGCGCTAGTTTTTTGACCTGTTGCTTGAGGCTGTTTTGTCTTTTGCTCTGTTTGGGGGCTAGTTAGTGAGAGGGTATAATCCCCACTGTCTTCAACTCTCAATGCTAACTAAGAAATGGTTTTAAAAGAAAAAAAGTTTAAGCAAGGGTTGTTTACTGTTTGTTTTGAGTTTGAGTTTCGCTTTACAAAGGAGGCAAGCTTTAACTGCCAGATGAGGGATTCATTCTCAATCCCCTTTATCTCTTCTTTGTCTTCTTAGAGAAGTTTTCTAACTCCTTTCTCTAGCCAATTTCATGTTGATTTTAATATCCTTATAATTGCTAGTTGCCTATGAGTTAGATTTCACTCATTGTTTACACACACCCACTTGAGCTTATTGTATTTGCATTCATAATATATTAGGGTTGTGAGAGTTGTAACATTGAGTGTGGGCTTTTATTGTGTTCTCATCCATATTAGAGAACAATTTATATTTGTTACATTGTGAGATTGTTAGGTTTTCGGTGAGCTAGAAACCGAGTGTGTTGTGAAGTTTTTCGGTGAGCTAGAAACCGAGTGTGAGGAGTGACGTTGATCGGTGAGCGTTGAAAACCGATACTGTGAGGTGTAAACGTTATTCGGGTGAACGTAGAAAACCCGGTTGATAGTGGATTTCTCCCCGGGAGTGGGGAGCGGAGACGTAGGACGGAAGGTCCGAACTCCGTGATCATATCGCTTGTTTGAGTTTGTCTTTGGCGTAGTTGTTTTTGCATTTATTTTATATCGCCAATTGTGCATTGCTCATTCACTTTATCCACTATCTTGTTTAGATGGTTTATCCCTTGTGTTAGTTTATATATCCTTGCATATATATATAATTCATCATATAGGATATATCTCATTGTTTATATTGCATATTCTTGCACATAACTCTTTGTATATCTATCTTGCAAGAATATAGTTGTTAATTAATTTTAATTGGCATTTAATCGGATTAGATTAGCATAAGACCCTAATCACCCCCCCTCTAGGGTCTAACAGAATGTTGTGAGGAGGGAGGAGGAGGCAGGGGAAGTGAGGGGTGGGATGGCGGTGGGAGGGGGCCAGAGACGGTGTGGGACGCGGTGCCGTACGTTTGTATGGAGATGGAGGCTGAGGATTTTCCGGTGACGGAATTTGAAGATATGTAGTACTCTGACGACGATGCTTGATCGTTAAAAGGATGATTTTGGTTTGGGTTCTTGATTAGTTGGCCTCTGTGTGTTCTGATGAGATGCAGAATTTTTAATATGGGGTCTGATCCAATCTGTAGTTTTTGGTCAGGTTACCCTTTTTTTTAACGTTTGATTCGATGGTCGTTTGAGATCAACATTGAGAGATCAGAGCTGTTTTGGTTCAATTTTTGATTCATTTTATGATGTGTAGGGTCTTGTTTCATATTGAATTCAGGTGTAAATGCATGATGTTGATCAAGTATGAATCTGTTTGAGGATTTTGGTTGAAGTTCTTGATTTATTGGCATTGATAATTTTGTGGGTTTTGATTCCTTTTTTTTTCTTTTTCTTGTAAAAAGGTCTTGTTTCTTTTAGGGAAGAGAGTACAATTTGTTTAGGACTACGATAAGATTCAGATTACATGGTATCGCTTCAGTCAATTTTCGTTATTTAGTTTACAATTATTATTCATTTTAGATCAAAAATAAAAATTATGATTTGAATTCAAATTTCCGATAGAAGAAACTCCATAATTAGTTTTAGGTGCTAGCTTATCAAAATTCTGCTTCCAAACTTCTTGATTGCATTCTTCTTACTTTTATGTCCGTACGGCAAAAGTTGGATCTTTAGTTTACTAGATTGTTTTCAAATATTTTTCTCTATAAAAGGAAATGGAGTTCGACGAGAGTGCAGATGCATGACGTTGATTATAATTTTCGTTGAGAATTTTAGTTTAAGTTCTTGATTTGTTTGTCTTCTGGTGTGTTTGATTAGTTTTTCTTATTGATATTTGTGGAAAAGAAGTTGGAGAATAGAAGGATTTGGGATTACTATGTTTTTTTTCAATTATAATAATAACCCCTTATTTTGTAAAATTATGAATTGATTTGAACAAAAATGAAAAATAGTAGATGCAATACCTGGAACAAAGAAGGTCAGTCTTTGGCTTGTATGAATCTGTAGCATCAGTCTTTTCTCAGTTCTTTTGGGTTTCTTTTGCATGCCGTTTAATGTTGGGGACTTCTCTACAATTTGCCACTAAAATCCCTAAAATTCTCCCCACTTGCTTCGTCTCCTTCCACGGAATTAACCTCGTGATTAATAATCATCCCAAATCTGTAATAAAAGCAAGTATTCAGCCAAATCAAAATAAATTAATGATAGCTTTCAATTGCTAGAAGAAAAAACATGGAGAATTAATAAACAGAAAATAAACACATGACAAATCTCAAAAACTCAGTTTCAAATAATTTCTTAGGTGTGGGAGGTTATTCTTAGTAATTCGGCTTGGAAGATTAAGGAGGATTTAAATCTTGTTGTAAGAACCTTAACACCTAAGTTAATCTAGGTAATACCAAACAGACCCCTATAGTATCACACAATTGCAAAGAGACAAAGAGGCTATGAATAGTTTTACTTATCGCAAAAGACTCCATATAGTATTACTTGTTGCAAATAGACTATTTGTAGTATTAGCCAAGTGCAAGTACACCTCCTCATTGAACTTTTTTAGTCTCTTTCAAAAGTAATTTTTTTTTAGCCGCTGAGTGTCGATCCTCACTATTAGAACTATGGGGCTTTGATCGCCTCCTCAAACATTTTAGACGATTTTAAGTGTCAAAAAAAAATCATACAGGGGATCTATTTGTAACAAGTAGAACTATATATAAGGGGTTGTTCGCAAGAAATCGAACTACATGGGGTTTTTCGCAATTGGATGATAAAGGGGTCTGTTCGCAATTAGCCCTTTAATCTATTGCTAAATAACAAAGCTTCATGCTCTTCCCTCCCATAAATAATTCAAATCCCAAAACCCACCCAAATAAGGCAATAATTCAAGAACTCAATGATCAAGAAACAGATCTCCTCCTCCCAATCCCCCCACCATCCATCTGAGCACCTCGCTTCTCAATTCAAGAACTCAACCATCAGTTTTGTTTCAAGCCCATTTCCTCCTCCAACAAAAACCCTCCCCTGTTTTCTCTGTTCAGAGGATTCAACAACTCAACCGTCAAGAAACAGAGACTTCATCGTCCCCATCAATTCTCTAAATCCCCCATTTGCCCATTTGATGATTTCCTCGCTTCTGCATTCTCTTCTACCTCTCTCTTCTTGAATTCTCACACATCCATCACAACCCTTGCTCTGTTCTTCCTCTGTTTTACTGAAAATGGAAGGCGGCAATAAACGGAAAACAACCATCATCCAAGAAGCAGAAACAAGATATTTGGGTTCCAATTTAACTTCAGGTTGTTAGGACATTCAGTTACAACAACCTAACAGCCAACTGATTCCACGTGGCAGACATCCAGAACACATATGAGACCCCCGGCCGCCACACGGCAACCATCCAGAGTATTTGGAAAAAATACACTACTGCTACAGAAAAGACCTTTTAGGAGCACAAACTTACAAAGGAAACCCTTAGGATTTAACAAAACAGCCCAACCCTCCATCCTTATTTCTCTTCACTTATGTTTATTAATAAGTGAAATATCATGTTACTTATGAATAGCCTGGCTCATAATCTTAATTGATCATGATGCAATGTGAAGTTCATGAAGGCGTTACGATTTAGTTAACTTAATGGAGGCGATTGAGGAGCAGTTTGTTACAATCTTTTCAAAATCTGTATAACACAAAGTGAGAGTGCATGAGTACATTATGCGCATCAGGGCTATTGTTTCGCAATTGTTTTTTGGTCCTCGCCATTCTCACCTCTCTCTTTCAGGAGAATACGGTGTTCTCGAAATGTCTATCACATGCAAAGAAAAATGGTCTATTGATGGATTATCGAGCTATGCGCTCAAGAAGAGGACCTGTTGAAAACTTGAAGCAAGAGAAGTTTTGATCTTGCTACTCATGATAAGAAAAATGGTAGTAAGTACAAAGGATCGCATGAAGGTACATGACATGCAGGATCAAATGTTTCTTCTGTAAGCAGAGGGGTGACATAAACAAGAACTGTAGAAATTGCCAAAAGATTGTTTGAGAAGAAAGATAATCTCATTTAATTTGTGTGGCATTGGTATGTATGGCATTTTGGAGTTTCTTAAAATTATGAGAAAGTGAGGAACACAGTTTTGCATCATCCTTTTAAAAATCAATAATCAGAAAGTAATTTCACATTTGGGCACCAACCAATCAAGAACTGTTAAAAAAAAAAAAAAGAATTGTTATAAACTTCTATCTCAGGATTGTAGGGAACTCATTCTATAATGATTTTGAGTTTTCACTTTCTCAATCTAAAACTAATTACATATATATTGTTTCTTCCATCCCAATCAATAAAACCCTGATCCATTTTCTTTAGAGCTCACTTGGTCCACAAAGGCACGTCCACATGATAATCCCCTGTTCCATCATCATCATCATCATCATCATCAGACCCTGCATACCTCCTCAGCGGCGGTATCATCAACCCTTCAGCCATATCATTCAATATTGCGGGCATATTGAACAGCTCATCCTCGTCCACAAGCGGGGCCCACGTCGCTGAAGACATTGACACTAGCAGCGACGATGGCCATGGTTCTTCTGTCGGTGCCGACGACGATGGTGTTTCTGTAATTGGCACTGATGAGGATGGCGTCTCCACTGGTGCTGACGATGAAGCTGTTTCTGCTGGCGCTGATGACGATGCTGTGGCTGTTGTTGCTGACGAGGATGGTCTTTCGATTGGCACGGATGACGGTGCTGTTTCTGTTGGCGCCAACGTCGATGGTGTTTCTGATGGGGCCAACGTAGATGGAGTTTTCGATGGTGCTGGTGCGGCGCCAGGCCTGAACATCTCCGCTGCCATCGACGCAACACGCCGTACCTCATCTGGGCTAACCAGGCGTCGGATATGTGCCAAGATGAATACCAGATCCCCCTGGCCACAAATGCGGCTCCTCCAGCGGCCGTTGCACTCATAGGCACCTTTATACACTGGGTGGGCCCATTTCTTAGAGTTCTTTGGTCCAGCTTTGTGCTTTGGTGTCGGCACGCATGCTGAAGGGGAGGTAGATAAGGGGCCGGCGCCTACAGAAGAAGAGGAGGAGATTCCAGCAGTGGGGAGGCCGGGGGAAGCAGCGAGAGACGTCGGCATCGTAGGTGAAGGTCCGCGGTAGGGAGAGGGGGAGGATGAATTGGGTAGTGATGGGGTTTGAGTACTTCTTGGAGGAGGAGGAGGAGAGGGTTGGATGGCTTGTGTCTGTTTCTGCTTCTTGTTCTCTTCCATTTTTTGGTGGGAGAAATTGTTAGAAGGGAGAAGGAACAGAGGAATCAAGGAAGAGGGAGGAAGAAGAGGGATTGATCGACGACGGAGGCTGTTTCTTGGTTTAATAAATGGGTTAGCTCTTGCAATTCTTGAAGGAGAGAGATTTTGCGTGCAAGAGAAAAATGACAGAGAGAAAAGTGGACGAGAATTGGCAATTGACCAGGGGCTTAAATACAATATGGGGGGTGATGAAGAGAGAGGGGGATGATCCAGTCTCTGTTTCTTGGGTTTTTTCTTTCTTTCAGTTTGAATTCTTTTTTTGGAGGGAGAAGATTAAATGGACTGCACCTCTAGTTTCGTAAAATTTTATGAACAGGGGATTACCAAAAAGAAACTAAATTAGCTAATCGATTTCTTATAGATAAAAGTTGGATAAAAGATTCATAAGTTGGAAGTTGTCAGAGAACATTTATATTTAATTTTTTGAGCATTTACTTAGTGTGCAGGAAATAAACGGATTATCATATCTTTATTTAGGACCCGTTTGGTTCGTCAAAAAAAAAATCATGGAAATTAAAGTTTTAGGAAATTGGTGTTGGCCACGTAGGATTTTGAAGTTGATATATTTTTTTCTTGTGTTTGTTTCGTCCTTAGTTGGAAATAAGGGGTAGAAAAACCCTGCCATGTAAGATTTTTTAGAAATATGATTTCAGAGCTCAAACGTCTGAAATTGGTTGGAGATCTAATTTTTTTAGCATTAAATATTTAGTGATAATATCCAGGGGAAATTGATTAAGGGTTTATGACATTTCCCATTATTTTTTATTGCCTACCAAACAAAGAAAATTGAGAAAATCAAAAGATATTGTAAGATTTATTGTTTTTAAACTTTTGAACCAAAAAAGAGAAAATAAAGAAATACTATTTTACCATATGATTTCCATGCGAAACAAATAGAAAAAATCTACTTCTAGAAAATACGTGGACTCGTTTGGTGAATTGGACTCGTGTTTGGTTTAGTTCTATTCTCGTCGCTCGCGGACTCATTTGGTTGTCGAGCACGCTTCCGCACGGCGCGCAACAATTGGTATCAGAGCTCTATGGTTTCAGATCTAGGGTTTTGCATTGGTGGAGGAAGATTCGTTGTTTGAAGCTTGGTTCTTGGAGTTCTAGGCTTCGGTGGAGATAGTGTTGCGGAGTTACCATTGGAGATCTTGCTTTCCTCGTGTGGTTAGGAGATCGTGTTTGGAATCCTATCTAGGGTTCAGTTGGGTAATTTCTCAATTCTATCAAAGTTCGAATATTTCTTTATAATTTGGAGTTTGTAAGCATGAGAGAAGAAGTTGGTGAAAGTAGCAAGGCAATGATGAGTACAGTTTAGATTGGACTTTAAAATACTAAGATTAGTGTAGTGAAGTATGACGACAAGATCAATTTTGGTTTGTGGATGAGCGACATACAGGACGCTTTCAATGCTCAAATTTTAGAAGAGACCATCATGGTCCATGAGAGGCCATCGAAATACGATGAGGCGATATGGGACAAGATGAATATGAATGCTTGTGGGGTGATCAAATCTTGTTTGGAACAAGAGTTGAAATACGATGTGATTAGGGTGATGTCTGCGATGAAGATGTAGGAGATTATTAACAATAAGTACCATATGAAGAGTGTTGAGAATCGGTTGCACTTGCTACGAAGATTATTCAGATTCCAGATGTCCAGAAGCACCTCACTTGCGGCTCATGTGAACAACTATACAAAGTTGTTGTCAGATTTGGCGAACGTGGATAAGAAGATAACCGATGAGTACAAGGCGATTATTTTGTTGGACTCCTTCCCCGATGAGGAGTATGATACCTTCATGCTCACTTTGTTAAATGGTAGATCTTCCATCACCTACAGTGAAGTGACTAATGCATTGACGAATTACGATTTGAGGAGGAAGGACAAAGAGACTTCCCAAGCTAGCACTTCAGGAGAGACCTTGTCGACGAGAGGTAGAAGTCCATATCCAAGAGGTGGCAATAGAGGCATGTCAAAGTTAAGAGACCATCACCAGTTAGCAAAGAACCAGTGTGCGTTCTGCAAAGAACAAAGACATTGTGTGTTCGCGGGAAAAATCGTAGCTTTCTTCATTGTTGATATCATTGCTATCTCAGTTAACAACTTTATGCGTTACAAAGATCCGGTCTTTTTATAAGATCCGGTTACAATGAAAAATCAAAGAAAACAAAGTAAAGATTACAATTTTTTTTCCTTTTGTGTCGAACGAATCGCGAGCTCCTGTTTTGCGGTCACTCGCTTTGTGTGGGTTCTTTGCCTGCGCCGGGGTTATTTGCCGTGGACCACCGTGTGATCTCGATCCGGTCGGATCTACACGATATGACGGGTAATATTCCACCAAGGGAATAATAGCCGGGAGGGATTGTTTCACCAAGGAAACAACCGCTCAAATCTCGGGATCTAAGAACCAAGCTTAGATCCGGAGTGTGATCGTGTAGATCTCAGATCCAATCCTTTCGAACTCCTGCCTTATTTGGCGGTGGTGATCGCCGAGCACCGGATCTGAAAGTCCAAGTCTCCAAGCCTTCAAAGTTGTGATCTTTTTTAGATCTGAGTCTTCAATCCAGCAGGGCTTCGCCTCTCTCCAAAATTTCCAACCTCTGAAACAAATGAGCACAAGGCCTATTTATAGGCACTCAGAACTGTGCCCGCGCACAGTTCTGAGCCTAGCCACCCATGGGTGGCTCGGCCTTGGCCGAGCCACCTCAGGGTGGCTCGGCCTTGGCCGAGCCACCCTGGGGTGGCTCGGCTTTGGCCGAGCCACCTCAGGGTGGCTCGGCCTTGGCCGAGCCACCCTGGGGTGGCTCGGCTTTGGCCGAGCCACCTCAGGGTGGCTCGGCCTTGGCCGAGCCACCCTGGGGTGGCTCGGCTTTGGCCGAGCCACCTCAGGGTGGCTCGGCCTTGGCCGAGCCACCCTGGGGTGGTTCGGTTTCGGCCGAGTCCCCGGGTGTTTGTCCGTTTCGTCCTTTGTTTCCGGTTCTGGTTCTCTTGTGTGGTTGATTGACTTGGCAACGACTCTTTGACTTGATTCCAGATTTGGCAGTGAGTCGGGTTCCTGATATGGCAGTAAACCAACTTCTGAATTTGAGTCCGGAATTGATGTTGATTTGATCGTGATTCATCCGAGTTCGCTCTTGTTTAGATGACTCGGTGATTCACCTAAACATTGGTTTGATTCCGCGTGCGAGTGGATGCATTCCAATGCTTGGGTGCGATTTGTCGCCTCGTTAACCTGCTCCGTTGCGTATAGCTTGGCTTCAGCGTTGGCGAGCTAACGGTCTTGTTTGGATACGTCGCCCGGTGGTCCGTTTGTTAAATCGGCGTCGAGCTGTGCTAAGGGACCTATAGGCAATTTTATACGCCTACAGATACCCCCTCCAAAGTATTTCAGTCTCATTCTTTTATAGAAGAGTCTGGAATACTTTGGATGTGATTGTCCCAACCTTCAGTCGGTGTAACGGGACTCTGGAATGACTTCTGTTCTGGATTCCTTCAATTCCTTCAGGCTATTCAGTGCTTTGTAGAATGCCTGTAGGGGTTCCGGTGCTGCATTTATTGTCTGACCGTTGTTGGAATTTGAACTTGAAGTCGATTCTTGATTTCTTGACTTTTTGGCTCGAGTTTGCTGCTTCAACACAGAACTTATCATCGATTGACTGCGTTGAATCTTCATCTATAACGCGTTGTCTGGCGTTTGAGCTTCATTGCGACGCGTTGTCCGGCGTCCAGGCTTCATTATGATGCACTGTTCGGCATTTGACACAGTTTATACTCGTACGTCTGCTGGAGTACACACGGTTTAAGCTCTTAAGGAATTGGAGCATGGATCTTATCCCAAGGTCGTTGGATGCTCGAGTCACGAGACCAACTCATAAAGTTGATGCGTCAATGACTCGCATATTTATAGGATTTTTGGCAAATCCTCAGCCATCAACGGGTTTGATGCGCCTTTACCGACTACCGTTTGAGTCGGGCTAGCATGCGGATTGTTTTAAGTCCGTTCCGCATGTGACGTTATGCTAAAAGAGTTAACTCTTTTAGTGCTACGATATTGAATACGTAGACTTCGTCTTTCTCCTGTGAAAAGACTAAACAGCAACGTGTATCAGACGTTGACTTAGGATTTTTGGCAAATCCTCAGCCCTCAACGGATTTGTCATGCTTTTACCGATTACCGTTTGAATCGGGCTTACATGCGGATTGTCTTAAGTCCGTTCCGCATGTGACGTTGTGCTAAAGGAATGAACTCCCTTAGACTTGATGCTACGACTTCGAATACGTAGACTTCGTCTTTCTCACGGGAATAGACTACCCGGCGACGCGTGTTAGGCGCTGACTTTAGGATTTTTGGCTAACCCCAAGCCTTTAACGGATTTGATTAACCTTTACCGACTACCGTTTGAGTCGGGCTAGCATGCGAATTGTCTAAATCCGTTCCGCATGTAACGTTGTGCTTAGAGACTGAATCCTCTAAGACTTGTTGCTATGACTTTGAATACATAGACTTCGCCGTTGTCATGGGAATAGGCTACCCAGCAACGTGTATTAAACGTTGACTTATCCCTCCTTAGGCTTCGGGATAAAATACCCCAGAATCGAACTCTGGTGTCTTTTTCTACGGGGAAAGACTAAACCGGCGACGCGTGTTAGGCGTCGGCATATCCTTTCTTAGGATTCAGGATGAAATTCCCCATGCGTGTAAGGCATGGATTTTGGTGTTATTAATAACAACCTGTCACAATGTTGAATATGTGAACGGGTGTTCTTTTTAAACGGTTAAGAACTGACCGGCAGCGCGTGTCAGGCGCAGACTTATCCTTGCTTAGGTTTCAGGATAGAATACCCCAGAATCGAACTCTGGTGTCTTTTTGTGCAGAAAAAAGACTAAACCGGCAGCGCGTGTTAGGCGCAGACTTATCCCTGCTTAGGATTCGGGATAAACTTCCTAGGATGAATCCTGAATTCTTCGAAAAGGATTGGTATGGGGAAGGAAGAATTTTATATTCTATTCCCCGAACAAAGAAGGAAAGGAGACTCGAGGTGGGATCTCCACCCCCAGAATCCGGAAAGGTGAAACTAAGAGTGGGATCTCCACTCCGAGAATCAAAAAGATTCGGATAACCCTAACTGTCGGAAGGTTTGATTATCGAACT